AGCCCGTTCTCTAAACAGTAATCAAAAACAAACTCTGGAGCGAATTTGCACCGCAGACGATGTACAGCATCCATTGCGAGCAAGATGATTGCCTGTTCAAGGTCATTTATCACGGTCATCCGTTTTCAAGGTTGTTTTGGGTTCCTAAAGTTTAGAGTCACCAACAAATGTTTTACAATAAATATGCCGTACTTTTATTCGTATTCCTTCTTCTTCTTCCAACTTGTACACGATTGAACCATTCGCGCCTTCTAGTTGCCCGCCAATGGCGACCAAGGCCAATGTACAAACGTTTAGTGTTCACAATCAACGACACTCCCCGGCAAAAAGGGTCCATCCCTTTTTTCCATCATGGCGATAACATTGAACTGAACTGCCAACGCGGGAACCTGGGCCAACCGGGACTAGGCTAAAATGGAAAAGCAAGACAAAAAAGCCCAACACACAACAAGCATACCACATCACACTACTACGCTCTCCCCGGCGTGTGGCACCTTCCACAGTGATCGGAACTTTCCTTCGTTCTCTGTCGACAGTACCACCACTGATCTGGTCCACGGGGTATTGGTTGCTTCATGTCACTCTGGCACAACCCCTCCCCGGCGTATCAAATTGCATACACTGACTATAACACTACTCGATTCGTTCACAAGTTTAGAAGACTAGAAACGACTTCAGAAGTACTCACAATAACATTACAAGATGATTCACACAATGCGACAGCTATAAAATTAACCAACAATTAGATGAATCGGAACCCACTCAATTACTTAACACAAATATATAAGTACAATCAGCATCCTCGGAATATCCACTGTCACCATAACAAGACGCTGTACAGCATTCTATACAAGCACTGTCAACGATCTAAATTGGCTTACATATAGCTCTCTACGTGTTAATCAACTTACTCTTACGGACCAACCATGCAGTGACAATAACCAATATTAATGTGCATTCAGTAGAATTCACATCTGGTGTTACATACGATAAAAATGTTGAAAAAATCATACAAATAAATCACTCATTTCAAATTAATACCCAATTTAAATATAAATCAAAAACAAGAAACGATGCCTCACACATCAAAGTTATATGGAGGAATTGACTTCAAGCTTAAATTTTTCCCAAATAGTTGTAATCCATCTAACACATAGTTGGGTTTTTTTGTTAATGCGACGACAATATTTCTTAATGTGCTCCATTGAATGACTAGTTAGCAGATTGTACTCACAAACTAATGCCAGAATGGACAGAGACCATGTAATTTCACCATAAATCAAATTTATGTAGTGTAAATAATGCTTATCCATGCCTGTACAACTGGTGTGTCCTACATAGATAGAAATAAATATATATTATTATTATTATCAAATGTTCTGGATTGTGCCTTGACAAGCTACCCTTGAAGAACTGTAGAACTTACAGTAGTACACCTACAACCCTTCTCAGGTTGACGCCCTAAGTTGGAAAATCGTCGCTGAGTTCATTTGCTGACCTCCCTCTATCATCTATATCCCCAACTCTGAATGGTGACACGCCCATGACATTGTAACAAACTTCCCCCTCTTGCCACACTAAAACATATTAGTACCTGTGAGTTCACTCATGCTGAGATGAATCAAGCCATTATGACTCTCAAAAGTCCTAACGGTGTTGGGCTGACAATATTTCATCGTATTTCTATAAACGATGGCAGTCCTGACAAATCCATATTACTGATAAAAATCCCTACAATGTCCTTATAAGCTGAAACTTAGCTGGGTAAGTGGGAAGCATGATTTATTATACCCAATCGCAAACGCGGCTCTGAAGTGGAAGTCAGCGACTGCAGGCCAATCAATATCACACCTATAGCACCTAGAATTATAGAGAGACTAACTGAAGATGACATCCTCAGACATATGCTTAGCTGAAATATTGTCAGTCTGAAGCAACATGGATTCCTAAAATCCCGTTCATGTTCAACCTGTCACCTAGATTTCTTTAGTGTTGTAACCACCAATGGTGACAGACTACACCTGGTGACTGGCTGACTAACTGGTTTCAACACACAACTCTGCACAGATGTGCACCAGTTCGCTTCATTTAGCACGCAAAGCAAGAGAAGACAGTAAATAGGTTTTCCAAACAGAGAGAGAATGAAATAATACACAGTATTGTGAGGGAAAGCGAATAGAAAGGCGAAAAACAAAGGAGTTTCACTGGATCTAATAAATCACAAACAGTGAGTTCATTTGAGTTATTGAGAGCGATTTTGAGCCATATCACCAATTGTCGCTAGCTATCATCCCGAGGTTCCGAAACAGGAAGCAAGTCTACACATCCCGACGTGGCTGGCTCAAAGTAACTGTTATGGATTTCATTGACTGATGAAGCCATGTTTCGGTTTGACCATCACTGGCTGTTTTCCAACTTGATCCATTTTATGTCAGCTAACATTGCCCGTCGGTCGTGGAAGGCGATGGCTAGGCATGCACAACACATGTCCTAACCACCTCAATTGATGTAACTTCACAACCCCGCCGATCTATTTCCCCTCCTTATCTAGCACTCAACCGAAGCCTAACCTCAATATTGCTCACCTTATCATACCGATTAACAAGGCGAACACAACGCAGGCACCTATGATAAAAGACAGCGAGCCAGGCTTTGCATGTCTTCCACTTCCAATGGCCACATCTCACAGCCAGCCACAAAGGAGGGCGGGGCGAACTGCTGAGCAGTATACACACCCTTTGGTCGACAGCCAGCTGGATATCACGTCTACGACGGAGATGGTGGAAGCTGGCTGAAAAATGTCAAACTAGCCTCCTGTATCCGTGCTGAGATTTCGTTGGCGATCAACCCACTGGCGTTGACTGACGCAATATCCCAAATAAGTGAAGTGGTCAATACGCTCCACCAACTACTTCACTCCCTATCTATAAACTAGGAATCGATGCATTCCAGTCCTATAGCATCGTCTTACATTTGACAGGAGCGAATGGCATGGCATAACTTTGAAGATTGCTGCTCAATGTGTTCACAAGACTCTGCATTTTGTCAGCATCTTCACCTAGGAGGACAAATAGTGACGTACTTCTAGATACATTTTTCAAACATCCATGACTTTCGAAGTTAGTCCCAAAACAGTTGTGGGAATGTATACTCAACGTAAACATTAGATATTGCCACACCACTAAATGAACGAATGATAAAATTTTCATTGTATTTTAGGAGCGCACTGCTAAAATGTGTGGAACCGGGAGAAAAACTCCATTTATCTGAATAATTAAAAAATGAACAAATGCTCGAACATCCTAGTGATAGTTGTTATTTTAACTAAATTTATAATGATTCCATCTGACTTAGTGCACATATTATCCAATGAAATTCGTAACATTTTTAACCCGAAAACGTATAATTTATTATAACATACTATATAATATTCCGCTGAATGATAACCAAATAAGAACATCTATTAATTATTTTCCCCTTTAAGTATCAGAACTCCAGAAATGACATCTAACGTAGCTGGAATTAATGTCTCCAGTCGAGACTACCATGACTTCACAAAAACGATACAATTTTCGAACCGAGCATCAAGCAGGGGAAGTGCATAAGTATTTCCCCAACTATTGGGCTCCTTGTTGAGTTAGTATCCCGAAGGAGCAAACAAAATCCGCAGAAACGCGTGTGCCATGAAAACGGACACCTCATGCCAAGCATCCTTTTAACCCTCTTGCAGAGGTTGGGGTTATCCCACTCCCCACACTTAACTTCCACAGAGTCACATCTCAGATGGCACATAGTGGCTCATCTCAATGGGTCATGACCACTCTCATCGGAAAGTCTCTACAAACGCACAGCCATCTTGCAAGCCGTATATAACCATCATCCCAGGAGCTAGGACATTCCTACAGTAGGCTTGCGGGAGAAACGCAAATGCCAACCAGTGACTCCTCCTCACCTGACCAAGGCAAGGGTGAGTTGAAACATTCATTTCGTCCAAGTACAACACGAAACACAAGAGGCTCTCGCTCACACTCACCATAACCTATGTAACTCAGCCCATATCCGAAACAACAGTATTTCGAATGACTTCCTATGTTAGGAGAACAGTTATACACTTCCTCTCGGAATGAGGAACATAAGTGATGACTGTTATTCAGAAGCTGGTTACCCGGACCGATGGCGGATACAACCAGTAAATCATGGGCGGTGCCCCGACGCTTACACGTCCGAGCAACTGGAGGTCGCGCCACCAAACTACATTATATGAGGTCTTGACTGTTATAAAGACTACGATCAATCACAGACCGCATCCTGTTCACTTTACAGTTACTAGCAAATGAAACCCATAACCGACCGCAATTCAATGAAGCCTTACAGCCACCGTTCTCGAGAGAATCAGTTTCGACCGTAATGTCCACACAGGCGGTCCCGAAGGTTTGAATCAAGTTCCCATACAATACTTAAAACGAGGCTACGAGACTCTCACAAACAACCTACCCATGTGTTTTCACGGGCAGGCTACCAAAAGTACACAGAATTCCAGGATGCCGAAACACCTCAGAGATATCTCGACCAGAGTAGAGGCACATATGACATTCCCTGTACATGATTAATAGCTCAATCTCAGAATTTTGTTCAGGACGCGTTGATATGCACCATAGCCAGTGGGAATCACGTGGAGTTACTTGTCAGAGTAAATAGACTTCAGTCAAACACTGTGCACACACCTTGAATGGGTGAATATTCACTACAGGTTAACACCGTCCTACTACCTTCATCAACCAAAACGTGGATTCAAAGAGACATTTGGCCATTTTTGAGAGTCACAGATACCCCAGCCACCATCACTTCATCATTTAGATGAAATTTTTCCAATGCTCGAAATCAGTGAGATCTACACCACATCTTTACTTATCAAAAATTTGGGGAAACTTCGTTCCAGTTACTTATGAGCAGTTTGTATGATAACGAAAAATAAGTTCAACAATGACAAGGTAATGTGATGCATTGAAAAAACTATACTTCCGAATGATAACTCAAACTCAAGGAGGGAAAATTATTACAAATGGAAATCATTTCAAAGGAAGGACACAATTCTTATCAGTTTTACTATCGAACAACCAAATGTTGCATTCCTCCTTGTGGATGCATACGGGGTTGATTGGATGACGTCATTGATGTCTGTTGCTGCTGCGTTTGTTGATCTGACATGGCACGTATACTACCTACAGTACCCGCAGTGCCCCCACTTCCTGTAGCACAACCACCTCCTGTACCTGATGATGCCATCATTTGACCTGTATGACCCTGCTGTTGTTGTTGAGTTCCACCAGACATACTTGAAGACGAATGACTCGCAGTAACGCTATTACTAGTAACATTAGCTGTACTCCCAGATGTGTAATTCTGTGAATTCTGTGGCGGCTGAATAACAGGACGTGGAAGAATTTTCAGTAGTATATTAGGCATTTCCGCCAATTCATCAAAATGACGCCACAGATCATACAAGTTGAGCAAGTGACGCGATATTTCAAGGACCTGAAATAGTGTAAAATAATAAGTTTTTTTCAATGTTGTACAAATTATTAGTTAAGAAACATATTCTTAAAAGGTTAATCAACAATTTATATTACACACCATATGTGTGTAAGAATTTATCCTGGATCAGGGTAAATGTTGTGACATAACTCTAGTGAACACTATTGGTTCAAATCTCAAGTCACTGAATATGCTATCTATCTTCACTAAGAAACCAAATTCAAACATAGAGATGCTGTTCAGTGTCCTAAGCACTCGTATTTTCGCTGCTCGGTTTCAAGTCTGCCTCTGCGTACTTCGGCTTATACAAGTATATAGATAAGAGTTATTTGACACGAAGCTTATTTTCGACATCTCCAGCTGACTGTTTACGAGCATTCAGAATTCAGTTACTTTGGCTACTTTATATACCTAGTTAGAACGCAAGTGACTGGCACAAATTTCCCACCTATGAGCTATTCTTACTGATGAGGGGGGGGGGCAGTCTGAAATAAGTAGAATGAAATGTCAGCGCCAGATCGACTGGCTGCGAGTTCAGTACTTAAGTCAGTGACCCGGTTGCTTACAAGGAAGAATCAAAAGCAGGGAATAACCTACATTCAAATGATTCAAAAAGCATTTATTGATTCCATGGTATTTTGAAAGTCCCCATTGCCAAACACGAAGATATTCAAACGAAAATCAACAAGATGGGAGAAAAGTCAGCGAAAATAGGACCTCAGGTGAACATAGAGAAAACAGAGGCAATGAAGACACCTGACAACCAACAGCAAACACTAATCATCATCAATGGGAGAAATCTAGTGAAAGTCGTACATTTCAATTACACGGATGAGGATTCCTAAAGCCAGCCAAGAACGAATCGATAAGTAAGACAGGAAGGAGTTCGTCACTCTGAAATCGGTGTGAGGATCAACAGCAAGCACTCAGCATGAGAAACATGAACCGCATCCTCAACACTGTTGTCAAGTCATTGCTTTTATAAGGTGCACACGACACCAGAGTCATTTTCAAGAGGCTGAAGACTTACAAACAGATGAATTAGCCCTCTAAATAATGAAGATCAGATGATCGGCCAAACAGAATCAGCAACTATAATTTCTGCTAGTGAACCAGCAAGACACCTATTGTTTAACAAATATTCACAAGGAAATAAAGATGAATTGGGCATACACTGAGGAGACTTTTAAGTGACATCACACCCCAGGTCCTCAAATGGAAGTTGAATGGAAAGCGACCAGTCGGGTGTGAGTTTACGAGTATTATGGAAGCGACCGTCAGACGAGGACATGAAAGCTTACGGGTGATAGTGTAGCCATCTAAAGAACAGTGCACAGAATAGAGTCAAATGACGACATGCTGTTGACGCCCTAAGTTCGCCTACAATCCAAGCCACGAATAATAATTATTACATCTGGACGTTAGAATTAACTTACCTATTACAATATATGAAGTTGACCATATACTACCAGACAGAATGTCAATAAATACTAATCCTAAAAACATAATTAGCGTCTAAAACATGGGAGGAAGGGATTAAAAACATTTAAGTGTTCAGAGGAATCGGTCGGTATATTCACTTAACGTGTTTATTTACTCTAAGTAACTTAGTTCGATTGAAGAACTTATTTCCAAATGAGATCACTACAGCAAACAGCAGACAGATAGACACACTTCTGTACGTATTATTTGTGTTCACTTTTCTACTCTCTAATTAAAAAAATTCAAATAAACAGAAACAGAAAAAAGAATGAAATGTTGTTCAACAACCATTTGTATATACATATTGTTTATACATATTTGCTGATGAGCCATACACGTGTACCTGGTTGCAAGAGTCTCACTCTTGACAAAATGGTTGGAAGCTGAGCAGTTAAAGCGACTAGACATACCTCCACATGTAACACCAACCAGATAAACGCACAAAACAATACACAAACATTTTAAAACGCTACGAATAATCTCGAAAGAAAAAACAACCGTAAATCTCACTTTTTCCATATCTACATTCAATTCGCTAAACCAGTGATCAGCGACTAAAAGGGGATTAACACTTGGCTGAGAATGATGTGTAAAATAACCATATTTGTTAGATGATCCGGATAGACTGGAATTCATCAGTCCTGATGATGAACCACCACCACCAGTCAATAAATCAGGATTGTTTGAAACGATTAAAACAGCTAAGTGAAGACAACCTAGATTTGATTTGTTTTAAAAAGTAGAAAGATATAATAGTGAATTTAGAGTTGATAACAGACCGTACGATAAAAGCTAGACTGTTTTCCCTACATCTCACATTGACCAATTACTATTATTATTTTATTCCGTTACATTCCCAGTAGAACGTAGGGTTTTAAGCTAGAGGCTTGGATTTTCGGTAGCAGTGGTGTTTATGCCAAACTATCCCTCTTTACTAGTTTTATTACTGGCTTAGCGAGGTAAAGGAGTGCGTCGGCGGGGATCGAAACCGGGACAATATGCGTGGTTGGCGATCATTCTTACGCTGTGCCACCGATGCACACATTTATTAATAATTAAATCGTTTTTCTCACTGACTGGCTTTGCTAAAACCTGCATCAGTACAAACTCCTGAACTTCTAAAAAATGTGCAATATCCCAAGGGAGAGAACTAAAATACAATGATACTACAATCGACAAAATTATTGAGAGGACAAAATAGCATTATGCAGATTAGCGAAGATGCTCCGAATTTCAATGGTAATGAAATAAATATTTCTTCAATTAAGTACAAAACTTTCGGCCACTTCATCAGCAGTCTCAAGCCAATTATTCCTAGAATTTTCAAGACCTAAGGCAAACAATTTTACAATAATAATCAGAAATAAATGTCTATATCATGGGGATTCACGCAGTGTCAACATAACTGACTCCCGGTGAAAAAAACTCATATTTCAAAATACACTTAATCACCAAAAAAACAAAAGCCAATTAAGAGTACCACATACAATTCCACAGTATATACAGTGCAACAAAGTGCAAAAAATTCCATAACAATTCGTTTATCAGATATATCACACAATGAAACAGAATGACGTTTCGAACACAATTCATTGTTCATAATCATATCATCAATTATAATCACACAACTTCGAAAACTGCGTTTTATTGTTTTCTTTATTTTTCCCCTATTTGTCCCAAGGGTAGTAGAATTGTCCAGATGTCTGGGACAGGCGTTGAATCTTTCCTACTGCACGTGTTTGCAGTCGATCCGATAAACAAAGCTTCCATTATCAATCTCTCCCTCCACCCTGTCGCATTAGATTTCAAAACTGTCATCTTATCCCATCCTATTGTATGGTTGGCTGTGTGTAATTGCATGTATTGAGTGGTATAGCTGAACTATTCTCCAGATTTCTTATCTTATTCGGGTCAACTAATCTAGATTTTGCTACGTTTTCATGCTCCGCTAGTCTGACTGCATCTGTTCTACCTCTTTGACCTATGTATTTGACCTGACAATCATTCAAGCAGGGTATTAGATAAACTAAATTGTTTTGTTTTATTGGCTTCACAGAATCGTTTAACCGACAAAGCTTTTTTCTAGTTTAGTTTGTGGGTTTGAATGTCAGCCACTTTTATTCCTGCCTTATTAAGAATTCTGCTTAAGGTTTCAGAGGTTCCTTCTTTGTATGAAATTACCGCTGATGATTTAGATTCCGTATTTTAATTAATTTGTCGGAATTATCTTTAAAGGTGTAGTTATAAGGGACAAAATTGAATACAAAAGTAAAATGTTATGCAATCTTGGAAACAATGGCAAATTTACCAGAGTTCACTTTGGAACATGTGAAAAACGTACAGAATAACGCGACAAATAATCTAGTAAAACTCTTAAACATGAATGCAATTAAAAGAGAGAAATTCAACTCATTAAAGCCCACGGAATCCCAACAACCACACATGCATGGTCTGTCTAAATGTACCCCGTTTACAGACGGTTGACATTTTACGTGATTACATCTCTTACAACAATTTCCTACTACCAGTGTCCATATCTTATTTCAAAGAGTTACTGCTTTTATGTACTAACAATTTTAAGTTTACATTTTCAGGCGAGCATTTTCGCTGGATCGATGGTGTTGCTCTGGGAAGCCCCCTAGGTCCATTGTTAGCTGATATATACATATCGCATGTTGAGAACCTAGCTGAGGACGTAATTGGAAAAGTTTATTTTTATATGTGGATGACGTAATAGTCATCTGAGATAAACCAACAGACGCCAAAGAAATCCTTAACCAGATCAATAGAGTACGAAACAGCATATTGCTAACACACACACACACGTTACAGAGAATAATGATTGCTTGCCAATTTCAGATGTACTTGTAACCCGCTGACAAGATGAGTTAGTAAAACGATCTGTCTACAGAAAGTCCACATGAACGGGACAGTATCTAAATTATGATAGTTTCTGTCCACTGCAGAATAAAAAGGCGTTGGTTAAGTGTTTGTTCAAACGCATTCATCGTATACGTGCAGCCGAAACAACTGAAGAAATACAGGACCTTACTGAAATATTGTTAGATAACAATTACCTGTTGGGATTCACTAAGCGTTATGGAAGTGTTAATCAAAGAGCTCTACCGATCCTACTCACTGACTTCACGTGGCGGAGGTGTTTTTCACCAAAGTGAGAGGGCGAAAGCGAATGCCCGGCGCTCTTCATCGGGTTGACTGTCCATTGGATGACAGTCTAGGGGAGATGGCTAAACCCTGATTCCAAACCTCCAACGACTGGCGTATGAAGCTCACTGGAGCTCACCGGCAGACGTATGGACAAAGGGCTTGTTGGATGTCCTGGATGTCTGGCCCCATTCAAAAAGCCGTATGAACCGAACTCCGGTCACCGACTGCCAATGGATAGTGGACTCCCTACTCCACTCCTACTGCCTTGTAGGTCACACTTGGTTGTGTAAAGGCTAGAGCTGCACTCTCAAACAAAAGGCCGAGCGATTCTGGGGACATCACTCGTACCAAATTCCCATGAAACTTCATGAACTCCCTTACAACGTTGCCTTCGGTGGTTTGGCCATGTTCTGCGCCGACCAGATGACGATCTGGTCAAATCAGTTCTAAATCCCTCGCCATTACCATCTTGGCGATGTCGCAGGGGTGGACAGCTGAAAACATGGCTTGGTACAGTCAAGGCTGATATGGAGTGCCTGGGGCTACAAACCGTCTACGGACTCCGTCTGTGGAACAAGAATTGGATAACCCTGTCGCGAAACCTTGCATCAGATAGCCGCGCGTGGGCAGCGATGATTCGAGATGTTCATGAAGCCGGCTCATCCTCCCGTAGGAGATAGCCGTAGTAAAGTAAAGTAAGTAAGTAATCAGCTGCTAGAAAGGATGTTTATATATCCTTGCCATTCAGGGGTGATCAACGAAGTCTGGTCACTCACTAAACAAAGGATCAAGGCGGCAATTAATAGAACTTACTATCCAGCTAAACCTTTCTTCATCGATAAAATGAGATCTATGCTGTTCGGTAAATCCTCACAGCATCCAAAAGATTGCGTTACATTCCACTGTTTGTCTACATACATTTATGTAGGAACACACCTACGTAGGGAGGACCCATTGGTCTCTGTAGGTTATGGCTACAGAACATATCCCAAAGTGGCCACAACAACAAATAAAATCGCCGGATACAGTTGATCCCGGAAATAGACGTCCAACATCATTTATAGCGAAGCACATTATACAGACGGGTCATAGGGTTGATTTCAATAATGCCTTTAAACCCATATATAAAACAAGGTTGGGTCACATATTTAAATTCGTTGAAGCTTTGGACATAAAAAGGCTCAAACCTGTCTTATTTGTCCAAAAGTTATTTGTCATTGATTTAAACCTGCCTTGGTAATGCAATTTAGAACCAAGGTTCAATTTACTTCATAATATTTCCAGTCCCTTGTTTGATTTTACTTTCTTTCCTACCCATGTCTTTGCATCACATCTCCCTACCCATTATTTGTGACCCTGACATGTACACAATCTGACCTGTATTCTAATGATTCATGTTTACTTGCCTTCTGTATAACTGCGTATGACAAGTATGTGCGTGAACAGAATGTCCGAAATATGTTGCGCACATACTTTAGACGTTTCAGATAAACTACGTCTTCTTATGGTGTTATGGAAGATCTAGATTAGTTGACCCGAATAAGATAAGAAATCTGGAGAATAGTTCAGCTATACCACTCAATACATGCAATTACACACAGCCAACCATACAATAGGATGGGATAAGATGACAGTTTTGAAATCTAATGCGACAGGGTGGAGGGAGAGATTGATAATGGAAGCTTTGTTTATCGGATCGACTGCAAACACGTGCAGTAGGAAAGATTCAACGCCTGTCCCAGACATCTGGACAATTCTACTACCCTTGGAACAAATAGGGGAAAAATAAAGAAAACAATAAAACGCAGTTTTCGAAGTTGTGTGACTATAATTGATGATATGATTATGAACAATGAATTGTGTTCGAAACGTCATTCTGTTTTACTGTGTGATATATATCTAAGAAGCAAATTAATACAGAACTAAATATGATCACACTGCTGAAGTTTTACGCGTATAGTAACCTTCGACAAAATAACATACCTAATGCAATTATATATGGAGGATAATGTAAGCAAACATCAGTTCGAAAACTATCATTCACTAACCACCTGTAACGAAAAAAAGAGGTTAACAATTAAAAACCAGCTGGATGTCTTCCGAAGCAGATGAAAATTACACCATAGAACAGGTCACTTTTGGTGGTGTCTTGAGACACTTTATTTTATTCCTTTGCACTGCGAGTACAACATAGGTCTTCAAGCATTTTGTGGACTGAAGTTTCAGTAGCAATGATTTGATTTCTAATGGGGAGGGAGGGTTACCCTCCTCACATCCAACTTTCTCTCTCCTCTAGATTTACTACCACCTAAACAAGGCTTATCACTGGCGTTAAGCCGAAGATCTAACTCCAGACCTAGTGCATGGTTGGCGAGCATTCTACCGTTGCACACACACTACCAACGCACATCAGAACAATTTTACTAGGCATGAAAAAAATCGAAGGCATAGCAAAACTACATACAAGTTATTGTAAACTACATAGAGAAGAACAAATTTATTTTCAACACCAGCTAAATGTTTAATCGTGATTAGTGATAAAAGCGCTTTCCGACTGTGCAACTACTTCAGCGTAAGATGTCACTTAGTGGTTGCTTGTAGGCTGGATAACCACTAAATTACATCTAACGCAATTGGAACTTTGATACGCTTTTATAAGTATTTATTTATTTTTATTTATATTACAAAAGTAGTAAATATTCATGAATTTCAATGCTACCTTTATGTTCCTGTTTTTTTAAATAATACATAAAAACATTTTATATTCCGATCACCACTTAATAATATATTTAACAATTCTTTTATTGATGATTATCACTCTTAACCCGACATTTTCTTTAATAACCATGAATCATTCCAAATTACACGAGACAGACAAACAGACAGGGTTGGATACTTAGTTACTAGTGTTAACAATCAATCAATCAATATTACACCATTATAGTTACAACACAAAAATACAGTAAGTACTTCAATTACATGATGTGCTTGCTTAAGTTGATTAAAAATAAATAAATAAAATTATAAATGCTAACTAATACACTAAAGATAATATGAAGGAAGGCATAAAATTGGTCAGTGAAGTTAATAAGTACTTACAAGAAGGAAAAGGTCTCCTTAAACAAATTATCAACTGCCGGTTTAAAATTGTCTACAATGACTCAATATCAAACCAAATAAATAAATCATCGGGAGCACGCACCCACTGGGATTCGAACCCAGGACCTTCCGGTTACAATGATTCTCTAACTGATATTAGTCCGTGATCAACTCGTAAAAACATAACTAACCAAACTATAGAAAATTAATTTGATGCTCACTAGTGACTTGCTGCAGGATGGAGTTTCCTGAAGTTCTAGTGAGAAGTCGCGACCAGTGAGGTCCATCCAGATGTCCTGTGTGTGGATGGATGTCCCACCAACAACAATGGTTGGGGTCGCGCTAAATCACGAATTGGTAGAAGTTAGAATTCATGAGCCATTGAATCGGGTCCCAGGGACTGAATGGTATACGAGCTTGCCTTGTACCCGGAAGGTCCTGTGTTCGAATCCCAGTGGGTGCGTACTGCCGATGATTCCCAAAACTAGGATGAAACAGCTGTCTAGTACTTCCTGGTTTTCAATGGTTCTCTAACTGATATCAGTCCGTGATCAACTCGTAAAAACATTACTAACCCTTACAAACCAAACTATAGAAAATAAATAAATAAATAAGATCCAAAAGTCACACAGGCTGTCCAATACAAGGTGAGAACTAATCTTAGACACCTACCAGTGTTAGGTAAAACTTCAGTGAATAAATACTAGACCTAAAAACAGGTCCCATCCAGAGTCTAGACACTCGCCTACATGGCTCAAACTAATAACCAAAGACAAAGGTGATATCACTATTTTAAACAATTTTTTCCTTCACGTTCCCCAGTGGAACATAGGGCTTCAAGCTAGTGGCTTGAAGTTTCTGTAGCAGTGTTTATTTTACAGGATGGGGTTGCTAGCCTCATGCCCAACCTTTCCTCTCCACCAGCATTATTTCTGGCTTAGCGTGGTAAAGGAGTGCGTCGGCCGGGGATCGAACCCCGGACCATGTGCAGGGTCGGCGAGCATCCTAACCGCTATGCCACCAACGCACATTTTAAACAATAAGGTGTGACTATTAAACAACTGTCCGAATCTCAGTTGCATGATAAAAACTGTGATAAATTAAAAATCTAAGGGTGAATTAAAAAGACAGTATACCGACAGAAATCTTAATGACGCATAAAAATCTCCTTTACTATCCTAACATGTTAAATGCTGTTCACAACCACTTACCAGGCACGTTCAAGTAACAAATCAGCATACTCATGCATTAGCGGACGAAGTTCATCACAGAATTGTACCAATGGACGATAAGGATGAAAGACAATTAATGAACAATCCTAAAAGTAAAATATTGCAAAAGACTCTGAAAATATTTGCATAATTATCAAAATGCAAGCATATTTAATACAGTGGAAATAATGATATTCAACGTCAACGCCAGTGTATGCATAACCCCAGCCACTAAATTAAGCTCGTTGAAGATTAACATTTGTAGTCATCTGGCAACATGGTCTAATCATATATGAAATTCCATTTGACTGTGAGGTATGCCAGTAGATGAGGTATAATAATAACAACTTGTGGTACACTGGTGCTCAAAATGTACTAAGTTTGTGTTTTAATAATGACAATACTAATGATAATTCATAACACAAGGGGTAAAGTGTATGCTTCTCTCAGGCAGATAATGCTTGTAAATACCCTGAACCTACTTTAAGTCACGCTGATAACACTCTATCATTACTTTCAGTTCAGTCTTAGGAGATTGAAAATTATAATCAATAAGTTAATTTTCCATGTGATACAACAAACTAAAATAAGACAGAATTGCTTGGATTTCTTCGTAAGATATTTATAGTTGCAGTTACTAACATCTATGATAAAATATATCAGTACTTAGAGAGTTGCAGCTAGTTGCTAGTACTGAATTGTCGGGAAAATACTCCCCATGTATCATCGACACATTGTGTAACGACTGATGATACTATCTAATTACCCAGATTCAAGTGGGTGCAGTTGAATTCAGTCAGAGGACCCATTAACTCTAAGTTAAGTGGTTAAGTCGATGAGCAACATCTCCACAAGAATTGTCCACTTAGAGAACACCAAATAATTATCAAAACAAGATACTTCCCAATATTTACTATAAGCAACTTACACGTCTACACTTTCTAATAGATTAACCAAATATAAACTCACCATTGCTTCAAGTAAAATAAATTCACACTCTAAAACATCTTGAGCGCGGTATGGATACCCATAACCATCAGGAAAGTATACTAAATAATGACTATGTACTAAAAAAGTACGAAAAAGATTTAGTTTTATGAATACGAGAGAACTTACCAACATTACGGCATGATGCAATTAAATTTTTTTGCGACACTACACCAAATTCCTAAAGGAAAGTATAAATGTCAAAATACAAATAAAATTGAAGACTCACTTCAACCTTAGAGGCTAAAAATAGACACGATGGAGCCATTAACCACGGATCAATGGTTTTAAATGAATTCCTTCATTATTTTTAAAAAATTGTTTTCAACATTTACATAAACACGACATACCGACTATAGAATCGCTTGAAGTACACTAGCGCAGTTGCAATCACTTGTTGACGAACTTCTACGCTCTTACCAAACGCTTGAATAACTGTTAAATATTGAAAGGGAATAAAATTAGCGTGAAGCAGTGAGTAAAAGCAACGTACCATCAGTGAAGAAAAGCATCACTTTTTGATATTCTTCTTCACTTCCAAGAATCTTTAGATCACTTGCCCTGTGTATCATTACATCTTGACGATCGAGTAACCATTCCAAGCTGCATTTTAGAAAAGAGATTTGTAGTAATATAAAATGATAAGAACATAATACAAGCATCATTTGATTTCTGGAAGGAGTCCATTCAACATACAATTTTTTTACATGTTTAGAACTTAAGATCATAAGGTTAATTTTTAGAGTCATTAGGGTCATTGTGATAAAGTCATTGGAACCAATGTCTTGAAATTATCATTACTGTCCCAATCAATACCTGAAGCTACACATGAAGGTTTAGGTAAAAAAGATACTATCATGTGGTGAACCTTCATCCAGTAGGATGGCTTGCATTATCTTTCAACCATAAAAGATGGATGGTGTTGACACTGTGCGTCGGTAGTTCAGCGGTAGGATGCTCACCGACAACGCTCGTGGTTTGAGGGTTCGATTTCGGACTGACTTACACCCTTACCACCATTAACTGGTAGTAAGCCCGCTAAAGAGAGGAGGTGGGACGTGAAGCTGGCAACCCAACCCCATAAAAGTCACTGCCACTAAATCTTCAATGTCCAAGCCCTGTGTCTCACTTGGGACGCAAAGGAATGAACACGAAGTGTTAACAATAAAAGACTATATTTAGTCGAAATACGTTGTGTTTGTAGAATGCATGTCGAAAAATAATATCAGTAATAACCATGTGTTTCGATACAGAAGAAGGCAGTTTAGATTTTTTAAATGTCCATTACTTTAGGTAATATGAATCGTCATACATAAAGACACCTGTCTGCCACCTGTAATAGTCAAAGTTTAAGATTTCACTTGTTTCAGTTTCATGTTTCATCCGCTCTCACTTTCAATGTGCAGTCACTCTTCTTCATGTATGTTCACAAAAATGGGAACTAGTATATATGTGGAATGTGACAATCATTTGTTGTGTTGACGTGGATAGTGAAGAGTGTTTCATTTATTCAACACGGATGTCTAGTAAGATGTTATTCTTACTGATAACGGACTTCAGTATCTGTTCTAAAGTTATACTACTGGCTTTACCTTTGTCAAGTAATTCAATATAAACATCTTTTTTTCGGGACAGAAAAAGGTTTTGGTTCCAGACTTGCTTATCTCATACATCAGTTCAAAAACTCCAGTACATAATCGCTTATGCTGTTCTTGTCAGCGTTTTGCCTTCAGCTACTCGCTCACTAGTACATGTAGCTCGCAAACTAAAAAATAAACATCTTATCAATCTCCGCTTGTATGGCATTACAAGAAAACTGCATAAACTTAGTTATTGACGATACATGTAAGGCTGTAAGGTAAGGCTGTCTTTCTAACAGTTATACAACATCATTAAACTAGCATATTTCCAGTAAAAAGCAAATTTGGTAAACAAATTTTCGGCATACGTACAGTCCTCGTGAACTTACCTTAGCAATATTACCCTCCATCGAAAGTGTAATGAACTGTCAGCACATCATAAAAGTACTTTACTTTCGAAAGTAAATACTTTTGACACGTGGAGTTCATCAAAATATTTATCAGCTAACGCAATAATTAGACATCTCTTAGATGACAATCCTCCTTCACCTACTTTTTGGCTGAGTCACTGGGTAGTATCAGAAACTCTTACACATTAAATGTAACTCGGTCGGTTTTCGACCGAGTTTGCGGCACATATGTGCGGCAGTTCAAGTCGCCACACTCCATGTAGCACACAAAGCAAGAGAAGAAAGTAGAAGAAATGCATAATATAGACAGTAAACAGAGGTGTGAGACAAAGGTATAGTAATAACGAAGAACAAAACAGTTTAATTGGAAATCATAAGTCACAAGGAGTGGATGCATCTGCGCCACTGAGAACCACTTTGAGCCATGTCACCAAATGTTTCCAACCATTGGTTTTTACCGTCCCGAGGACCCCAACCAGGAAGTCTACACCTTCCTACATGGCTTAGACTAACTGTTGTAGATTTCATTGACTGGTGCCATGTTTTCGTTTGACCGCCGCTAGCTCTTTTCCAGCCTGACCCTATATCAGCTAACATTACCCGACGAGGAAGGCAATGACTAGGCATACGTAACACATGTCCCGACCGAAAGCTGCTACCTTGACGTGGTGGTCGGGCTTGAACACCGCAATGACCCAAAAAGCTATACTGGCTGGAACTTATGTTCCTGCAGGTCTTACCATGCCAGAAAGGTTGTTACCCAATCCAATCCTATGACTTCAAACAAATCACAAAATATCATGCCGGATCGGTCGGGGCCCGGATTAACAACGACCGCGCTTTCTGCTGCCGTGTCACAGGGCAGAAGTGATAAATACGCTACTGAGACACACCAAATAAAAAAGAACAAACAAAAACAGGCCGTGTGTGACCGGCCTCAATCAGTTGTCCCCTGGGCTCTGCGGTCACGCAACCAACTTCCACGGTGTGGGCAGCCGGGAAGTAACAATCGCCCTCACAACCCGAAGAGCACGCGAAACCTCTCTATTCCTTACTCACCTTTGTCTCCATCTTCATCTCTATTATCTTACCTTCCTTCTACTAATGCAACTCCTCTACTTAATGGCCCTTCACTTCCTCTTCACTCTGTGTGCACTGATAACGATGGAAGCCAAAAAGGCACCATCGATAGTCTCCTAAAGCCACGTCACCAATTTCATATAGGGGCATTTAATGTTAGGACACTTTGCCAAATAGGACAACAGGCATCACTAGCCAAGACTCTGGCATCCCGAGCCATTGATGTATGTTGTGTTTCAGAAACACGCATACAGGACCCAAGTGTGGTTATTCACCTAACCCCACCTGGCCAACAGGATGAATCTGCAAAATTCACCTTGAGGGTGTCAGGAGATGAGACGGCTAGCTCACGAGGATTAGCTGGTGTTGGGATAGCTGTGAGTACTAGGGCAGAAAAGACATTACTTGACTGGATCCCGGTAGATAGCCAAATGTGTGCTGTCCGTCTGAACGGATCAGTGAAAAGGAGAAAGGACTGCACTACTCGCCGATGCCTTTTCGTAATCTCCGCCTACGCCCCCACTGACTGCAGTTCGGATGAAACGAAGGATGAGTTCTACCAAAAGCTGTCTAGTTTGCTGCGAAAGGCTAAACGCTCAGATATAGTCGTTTTAGCTGGTGACTTTAATGCTCAAGTGGGGAAATTGTGTCAATCTGAGAAGAATGTCGGTGGCACATACGGAATTCCGTGCCAGCGAACCGACAACGGTGACCGTCTCCTACAGTTATGTTCAGATAATCACTTGTTTCTTGTAAGCACTAACTTCAAACACAAGGAGAGACACTGTCTTACCTGGCGACCTCCATCATCAAACCAACGCTGGACACAAATAGACCACATAGCAATAAGCTATCGTTGGCGTGGGTCGGTAGGGGATTGTCGCTCCTTCTGGAACACGTGTGTAGATACCGATCACGCACTGGTCAGCGCTCGTGTGTGCTTACGACTGAACGGACGTAGGAAACAGCTGGCGGTAAAACCATCACGTCCCCAGCTCGATCAGGGAACTAAGTCCCTATTTGAGGAAGAACTAGCTAAACACATATCTGAGTTTGACAGCTGCGCTCATCCTGAGGAAGCCTGGAAAAATATTCAGTCAGCCATAGATACAGCTGTAAAAGCTGTGAATAAGGTAAATCCAAAGGTGAGTAAAAACCATTGGATTTCGACTGCCTCATCCGAACTGATAGATGCTAGAAGACTTATTCCGGCGAGCTCCGAATTCAATGAGGAGCGAAAGCTGCACAAGAGGAAACTTACGAAAAGTCTCCGCAAGGACCGTGAACAGTGGTGGTTGGCAAAGGCGAAAGAGATGGAAAAAGCATCGGCGATAGGCAACACTAGGCAACTCTTTAGACTCATCAGGGAAACGGGTGGGAGAAGGCAAATCATAAGTGAGACTATTTGTGAGAAAAATGGCTCCTTAATTAGCTCTCAGGATAGACGCCTCGAACGCTGGAAAGAACACTTCGAGGAACAGTTTAACTTGCCTACAGCCACACTGAGCCTCCCCGTCATCCAGCACACACCCGAATGGGACATAGACACTGGCCCGCCGTCTGTAAGTGAGGTCACCAAAGCTACCTGTAATTTGAAACGAGGCAAAGCGGCAGGACCCGACGGAATTATTCCGGAGGTGTTTAAATATGGGGGTGACATGCTAGTATATAGTTTAACTAAGGTACTAGGTAACGTCTGGGAATCAGAGACGGTTCCATCAGACTGGGGTAAGTCACTTATCATACCAGTATTCAAGAAGGGAGATAAGTCCTCATGTGATAATCATAGAGGAATCAGCCTAACGAACATAGTCTCTAAAATCCTAGGCTCAGTAATCATGAACAGACTAAGCCGAACTCAGGAGGAACAAATGAGGGAAAATCAAGCGGGCTTTAGGCCAGGTAGAGGGTGCATAGATCATATCTTCACTCTCCGACAGATCCTAGAACATAGGCACACTTTTAGGCGTCCAACAATTGCTATATTTCTTGACTTGAAGGCGGCCTTCGACTCCGTGGATCGAGAGGTTCTATGGCAATGTTTGACTATGAAGGGAGTGCCAAGAAAGTACATTGCACTAATCAAGGCACTCTACTCAAACTCACGTAGCTGTGTAAGGGCTTATGGGGAATTGTCATCTGAATTGATAACAACCAGTGGTGTCCGTCAGGGATGTCCACTTTCCCCTTTTCTGTTTAACTTCATCATAGATATGCTAATGGAAGTATCCTTAACCGAACGTAACGACTTCGGAATCGACTTGTTACCAGAGAATAGTCTTATAGACTTAGAATACGCAGACGACATAGTCCTGTTAGGGGAGGACGCTGACAAAATGCAGAGTCTTCTGAACACCTTGAACAGCAATCTTCGTATGTTGAGCATGCGATTCGCCCCTGTGAAATGTAAGATGCTGCTACAGGACTGGACTACGTCAACTCCAAGCTTAGTGATAGGGAGTGAAGTGATAGAACATGTTGACCACTTCACCTATTTAGGAAGTTGTATCAGCACCAACGGATTGATTGGTGACGAAATCACAGCACGGATCCAGAAAGCTAGGGCTGCCTTCGCTAACTTACACCGTCTCTGGCGTAGGCGTGACATCCGACTGTCAACCAAGGGACGTGTATACTGCTCAGCAGTTCGCTCCGTCCTCTATGGCGGTGAGACGTGGCCATTGAGAGCGGAAGACATGAAGAGATTGTCTGTTTTTGACCACAGATGTTTACGATCTCTTTCTCGCGTTAGGTGGTATAATAAGGTAAGTAATGTTGACGTTAGGCGTAGAGTGTTGGGTAAAGAGGGAAAATCACTCGAAGAGGCTATAAAGTTACATAGATTGAGATGGCTAGGTCACGTGCTGCGCATGCCTAACCATCGTCTCCCCCGACGGGCATTCCTAGCTGACATAGGTGCAGGTTGGAAAAGAGTAAGTGGTGACCAAACAAAAACATGGCCTCATCACATGAATTCCTTGGAAGTTAAACTGAGTCAGGTAGGGAGATGCAGACTTCCGGGTTGGGGCCCGCCCTCGGGACTCTTAGAATCAATGGCTGGAGACAATAGGTGACATGGCTCAAAATCGTTGTCAATGGCGCAGATGTATTCAGTCTCTTTAACCTTCATATTCCTTTCTACCATTACTCATTCTTTTTCACTCTTATACTTGTCAAAACTCTATTGATTCTCTTCACTCATTTTCTTGTCTACCTTTGTGTGCTATTTGGAACGTGACAACTCGAACTGCTGCACTTCGGTGCCAAGTTCTATGTTGAATCCAGACGGACAGAGACGTAACACATGTCCTAACCATCTAAGTCGATGTAATTTCACAGTCTCGTCGACTGATTTCCCCTCCTCACCTAGCACTCAACGCCTAACATCAATATTGCTCACCTTATTATACCACTTCACACGGGAGATAGAACGCAGACACCTATGATCAAACACAGCTAATCTTTTCATGTAACTAAATAACCTAGAACATGTAATCTGAGGAATGAGTGATGGAGGAAATTGGTGATATGGCTCAAAATCGTTCACAATGGCTGGCGGAGACGCATCCACTCCTTGTGACTTATAATAGCCAATAAAACTATATGGTTCTTCGATATTACTATTCTTTTTGCCTAATATTTCTGTTTACTGTCTCTATTTTGCACTTCTTTCCACTTTTTTCTTGCTTTGTGTGGGGACTCGAACTGCTGCACATCTGTTGACACCAGTCAGTTAGTCAGAGGAATGAGTGCAAGTCTTGTGGAAAAGGTAAAGGCAAAAACTAATTAAATTGAAGAGTGCCAAAACTCTACGTCCAACAGGATTTTGTTAAGTCAACGGATGTAAGACTCGTGAAGACCTTTTCTTTCATCTCGTTAATAACATGTACTCTCTTGTACACGCATTAAATTCTTTCGAATGTAGCTCTCGGCTTTTCACCACATCCAATTCCAATTAAATTATATCACTTCGCAACTTAATTTTCTTTTAGTTCTATCAAGCTTACACCTGATTATTATTGCTACATGACATAATCAAAACTAAATCTCTGTTACAATACCATAGAAAGCATTCTTTTATAATGTCAGGTGGACTTTATTTTTTTCACTGATTTCGCCAATTTTTAATTAGATTTTTTCTAGGTGTAATATGAGTAAAAACCAGCTACATTTGGAGAATACACTGAACAAATGTCACCTTTGCTTTTATAAAATTTACACTATAATTTCCTAAAGATATTTTTCTTAAAGCATAAGAGCATTTGTCAAATTATAAAACGGGAATCGAAATTATTGATATAAGGATAAAACTTGGGCATTGTGGTGGAGTATAACAACTGAGTGTGTGAGTACCTTGATATGATTATGAGCAATAATTTGTGCTCGGAACGTTGTAGCGGTAAATAATTCCCCAAAATTATTAACCACAGCAATCATCACTCAACATTGGATGCTGACCACCACTGTTTAAGTTGACTTGTTTAGCTGAAGGCTTCCGGTCAAGCATCCCCGCCATTTGGTACTCCGTCGTGTCACGTGCGTGCACGATTACTAGCTAGCTAAGCATTCACTTCTACCCGCGATTTGGTCCCGAAATATATCTCGTATTTGGACGACGAAATCTGGTCTTTTGCTTTATCTTTGGTACTCGAAGAACGAACACTATTGAAGTTGTTGGTATAAGATCTTGCGTTAGTATAATCCGTACAACTCGCGAACTTCGATACCGTCAACCTCTAAAACGTCATCAGTAAAAATTACTGTATAACACTGTGTGACTATCAAAATAAATTTTACCCACAATGGAATTATACTCTACCATAGTGCACAAGTTCTATTCTTATACTAAATATTCCTCACAAGAAATCACCCTCACACTGTTTTTCAAGCAATGTGAAGTCAATAAGTAGAAATCTGTTAGTGGCACAATAACTTAGTAATGGTTGAGACATAGGACGCAATAAAATGACTTACTAATTCGAACTATGCCAAAAACTCCGAGTCATTGAAATTGGTTATTCCCTCAACAGGTCAAAAATTCAGGGTTGCTCTTCTTTTGATTCATAAAAAATGATATTATAAAACACCTGTAAAAATAAACTGAGCTGTGAATAATTCTGATACACCACGAAAATATCCTAAATAAGTTATAGTCTTTTAAGGACGCAAAGTTTATTTATGGACTACTTTTAATGATCGGTTTAAGAGCTTGATTTTCAACCAATAGGTCACGGTTCGGAATTTCATTTCCAACATATCTATACCGTGGCGATCGACTTTACCTCACATCACCAACGGTCTCCAACCTTTGATTCCTAGCACGCAGATGAATCAGGATATCTACACCTCGCTATATGATCAAAGACTTCATAGTTTGGCGCAATGTTTCGTCCTGTCTGCGCTCTAATATTACTAGCCTAATCCCACTACACCTGGCATTCCTGTTCAAAGTAAGCATTGGCTGAAGTTGCCTATAACATATCCTAGCCATCTCAACTAATAAGGCTTCCTTTCCCACATAACTCTGTACCTTACTTTATTGTTACTGACCATATGCAACTCAAAGAGATTCATTTTGAGCACCAATAGTTAAAGACAGCTGGCCTCCACAAACCTACGGCTGTGCCTCATTATCATTAAGTAGAAAAGAGTGAAATGCAGCATAATACATACCTCATTTTATGCATAATCAGATATTTAGACAAAGCAGCTAGTTGGTCTACAAATTATGAAATTGGGAGAATTACGGAGACAATAATTCAACAGAAAGATAAGGATAATACACCTAATAAAAGACATGCATGTTATTATATGCTTCTTAAGAAGGGATCTAATTAGATCCCTCGCTGTGATTCTTCGCTTTTGAGAGTCTTATTTAAAAGGAAAACTTTAAAACAGTGGAAGTTAGCTTTTAAAACATGTCATTACTACGCGATTTCACAGTGTACTCTTCAAGTACTCAATTTTGAAGATTATTACGGTAACTAATCCTATTACTGAGCACATTAATGCAATTAGATTCGACCAACTTAAAAATCTAAACTTTAGGAACCCAAAACAACCTTGAAAACGGATGACCGTGATAAATGACCTTGAACAGGCAATCATCTTGCTCGCAATGGATGCTGTACATCGTCTGCGGTGCAAATTCGCTCCAGAGTTTGTTTTTGATTACTGTTTAGAGAACGGGCTGATAGCTAGATCTAAAACTTGCCAGTGCGGAGGTGTTATGCATATACAAAGATACACGAAATGCATAGATGGTTATGCTTACCGTTGCAGGGGTACGAGAGGGTATGTAGTTATTTTTTAGTTAATAGATTCCTTAGATACATTTTCTCGAAATCTCATTTACCTCTATGAGTGGAGTAGTTACAGCCAATTATCAAATCTCAGCTATATTCATGAGGTTGTCAACCATACAACCGGATTTATAAATCCTTTCAATGGAACTCATACTAATTCCACTGAAAGTTTCTGGAGTCATCTCAAAAAACGGATAAGATCGGTGAACGGATCAAGAAATCCAGTGATTTACAGTTATCTCGACGAGTTTATGTATAGGACTTGGTTTAACATGACTTTAAAGACTCCTATGTCTAATTGGGACTTTTTTGCAACATATACGAGAACGCTATCCTTTGTAACTATTTTTTAACATTGCTTTACTTGTATATAAACGATTTATTAAAATTATGCGCCGTTCATTTTAAGCCTTCTGATTGGTTAAAATTGTCCTTGTCAAGGTTATTTGTCCGTTCGTTCGTTTGGGTTCCTAAAGTTTAGAGTCACCCATTTGTTTACAGACCATGTACTAACCTCGATTTTAATTGCCAAATAATACAACTTCCTTCATACAACCACTTGTGTTTTGCAGTTAAAGTCGAGAATCAGTCCTAGTAATTATCGGTTCAGAGCGTTTTCCTAACAACGGGAACTTAGGGTTAAGTTCCTTGACACATGAGTATGTGGTAACTTTCTCAAACTGAAGAATACCTAGCACATTAAGTTGGCGGTAGGTAACCTTGATAAAGGCACTACGAGCGGTTTCATAGAGACTGGCTTTTAGTGAATGCTGGGTGGCCTAAATTCCTTAAATTAATGATGACATCATGCGAAGATTTAACCACAACTGATACTTCAACTTACTGAGTATATTACAGTCCAGTGAAGGGAATAAAACAATCAGTGTTGCTTTTGCCTTTGAAGTGCCTTCTCAATCGCCACAGGTTAGGACGCTCGCCAACCATACACCTGGTCCGGGGTTCGATCCCCAGCCGACGCAAACCTGATATCAATGGTCAGTCGGCTAAATTTGGGCTACCGATAACACATGCTGAGGATTCCATACGTGTACCAAAATACTGTGTGGAATCAAGCTATAATTAAATTAAATTACTTACTACCGCAGTGCCCAAGTTTTACACATATATTAAATTAATGCGGTTTCAACTTCACGGACAGTGAATAACATGCAAAAGCATTTCATTTATCTGTCCACACAGTATTCCAGGCTATTGTGACTTATGCAAATTGAAGATCACACATCTCCCTTATGAAATCTTAATTTCCTATTTTGATTCTATGTTCATTTTTAGAGAGGCGAATGTCTTACAAATCGATACAAATTCACTCACATAACACATCGACGACTGAACTGAGTAGGTGGAGGAGAGAAAGGAAGAATACTGAACCAAGCATTTACTTGACTAAAGTCAGTAGTTTACCTTCAACTCATATATACATGTGCATATATTTCTGAGTGAATTTGAGAATACACACACCACGTCTAAATGCATGCGAAAATAATTGAATAACTAATTAATTTCCGCAATGACAGAAAGAACCCAAGGTCACGTATTGTCTCATTCCGTTAATCACCACAGAGAATATAAAGAATATTCGATCTTGGTAAAGTAACTGGTCAATACTGAGTTTTTCCATCAATAGTTCTGCAATAACTTGGATAGCCCACGTCCACATTTCGTTGATGAGCAACATCTTCCTCGTTGACCACAGTGTTCACGCAGTCGCTGACATTAGGATGAAAGGAGAACAATTTCGTGATGCTGACTGAAATAGGGTTGCAGCAATGGAATCACTAGTAAGTGATTAAAAATTTATACAGACTGCGGTAGTGTTTCTTTAAGAGTACATCCTCAACAGAATCGTAATACTTATGAAATCAAATGTGAAGCGATTAACTGGATGATGACTGATATAATGAATTCGATCAAACAATAAGTCCATGAATTTACTAGCCACAGTGCTGATTTAACAACATCAACTCATCTGATCACTTCATTTCAAATGGACACTTTGCAAATGGCGAGACCACTTTGAGAATGCCTTCTCTCAGTAGTCGTTCCATTCGAGATCTGTGAACTCGTCCAGGTGTCAAGGGATCTCGTTGCACACAGACTGCAAGAGGAAGAGTCAGCAAAGTAGCTAACCAATATCTGGTGAACTTGTCAACGTACGTTTCGACTAGACAAAGATTATGCCGATTTGTGGATGATTTCAGTTGTTGTCAGAAATGCCAACTCTACAGATGAGAATTTCAGGCGATTTGAAATTTGCGTGGATCAAAGTGCACTGAATTTCACAGACAAGCTTGCTGCATGCATCCACACTAAGTTTGAGTATAGAAAGGAGAGAATGTGACACAATCAATCGCATCATGCGTCTCGCCTAATTAGCAAACAGTGGTTTCTTGTATCAGTACCAACACTCCCCAATTCATACTACATCGAATTAACCGTACGTTGGACAAATTCAACACAGATTGTCAGAGCGTCAGTCATCACTCGAATATCTGATTAGTGACACTCTATCATCCATTTAGATGGAGTGTAGTAAGCTCAAGCTGTTTGTTTCCTTTTCGTAACAAGCATTATCCATCCATCCACGTTTGAGCTGAGTATAGAACAGGGGGAATGTGACATAATCAATTATATCACCCGTCTCACTAACTTCGCAATCAGTACTTTTATCTATCAACAGCATGATCTCAGTAGCAGGCAATATTACTAGTCAAATATTTTTGGGACTGATACTCAGTGGAATAGAAGCCTAAATATTATGAGGTATAGAAGGGAGTAATATCCCGTCACGGCTCTCATTAGTATGAAGAATACTCTTTCTGACAGGTTATGGAAAAATAAATTAATTGTGGTGACTCACCACTCAGCTGTCAGTTTACGGTCAGAAGGGAAAATTGCTTGATTACTGATCCCCTACACTCCACTTACTTGCAAGTTTTGTGATGTTACATTTCTTGTCCATTAATCACAGTCAAGTTCAACCGTAGAATCTTCTCATCAGTGTTGTACTCATTAGATAGGAATACCTCATTTACTGTATCCCCACTGGATAGCATCACGTCAGTATCTTGTGTAGACCTCGCTAACGAATTTCATTACTCACAAAAACTACCAATTTAACGCCGCAAACTATTCACCATTAACCTCAGACTGAAATATCATCTCCCTCCTAATCTTCGTGTTCTTCCTTCTAACTGGAAACAAGTTGATTGAAAAATGTTCTGTGTGCTTCATGATAAAGTGTGTTCCATCAAAGCAACTGTGCTACTTCCAAGTTTCCCATGGATTACTGCAGCTTGATTTCACTTCGAGTTTATGTGGTTAATGTTTTGAGAAATCTCCTATGATTCGTAATCGAATGACATTTGGCCCATGTGAGTGTATTCAGTATCGTACAAACGTTGTCGATAGAACATGTGTATTGTAGTCGACCTCATATGTGGATAAGCCTTTGAAATTAGTCCAATCTGACAACAATACAGGCTGACTGCAGTAAAATCACCACAGGTGATGCACTCAGTACACAAGTCCGTCTACGGCACTGAGAATTCAAGTTCTTCCTCGAATTCCACCCCGAATAGAGCCAATTCAAATATAGTGTGCAACAGGACAAGTGACTCATTTTCAAAAATATTGCAGCATAATTAGCTTCTGTGTCACATTACTCATTTATAATTGTTTTCATCATTGACACTTACTGCATCAAGCAGATCGTGCATTCTGAAATGAATGAGTTGGGTTTCCAAGGGTGGTAAACTCCCACCTC